ACTTTGTATAAAAACTTCCACAACTTTCATCCAACCGTGAATATGATTAAGGCTAAAATTTACTTCCCGGCTAAATTACAAAAAATAATATAACTTTGTTGAGTTTCACTTAAATTCAAGCAAAAGGGTTATTTTGGCTGTAAACCGAAGTAACTCAACTCTGCAAAATTTCGCTACAATTGGAATACAAAACAACATCAAAAATATTCGCATTTAAATGGCAATTTTGTATTTTAGCACAAAATTTATGGTATATTCATCTATTTCCGCATAAATCTGTCCATAATTGTGACCTCTGGAGAGATTGAAAAATCAGGAAAAATCTGTTTTGCTCCATTGCATCCTTTTATTATTTACATATAATTTCCAAAAATTATGGGGGTATATACTATCTCTAATCCTGGCTCTTTAAATTTTAGACCCAATAAAAATATATATTCTTGATTAGCTTAAAATTTTATGTCGATTTAACCACGTCCGTCTGTGGAAATCCGTCTAGCTGCCGAACGAAATGAAGTGGGTGGATAAAATATTATTATTATTATTATTATTTTATTATTTTTGTTAGTTATGCAGGACTTTCGGTATTAAAATGGGCTATATAGATCTACGTTTTGATATAACCCCCATATAACTGTGCCTATAGAATTAAGACTTTTTGGGTGCATTAGGGACAATTGTAACCCAAATTGACACATTAGGGGTGATTTTTTTTTTAATTTTATTGAATGAAAGCATAAAATGTCGGAAATAGCATCAAATTTTAGAATTAGCTTAGATTTGTTCGAATTTGTCACCGTTGGCACGAATTATGACCTTCAAACGGCCACTGAAACCGTCACACGCTGCCTGAATGTTGCTCCGCAGTATTTTGGCAAATTCCCGGCGAAGCTCTTGCTTGAGGTGATCGACACTTCGGTATTTTTTAGTGCCAACCTTGCTTTCCAAAATACTCCAGATACAATAGTCCAACGGATTGGTATCCGGAGATTTTGGTGGTCATTGTGTGCTGGAAATGAAGTGAGGAACCTCATTTTGTAACAATTCTTAGGTGGCGCGTGCTGAGTCCTGTTGGAATGTCCAAGGTCTGAGGACAAAATGTTTAGGTTCCCAAGGCTTTATTACACCCTCCAGAATATTTTCGCTATAATATTCGTCATTTATTCTGATGCCACGGTCGATTAAAACAAGCGGATGGCGGCCCACACCATGACCATGGCCGGCGTTTGAGTTCTGGTGGTCAACCGAAGGTGCACATTTTCAGCTGACCTCTTTGGTAAGTAAACACGATCATTTTGTTTTGTTTACAAGCTGCTGGACAACGAATGTTTTCTTATCGGAGGAAATCAAATTCGGCAGTTCACTACTTTCGGCCAAGCGAAGCAACTCTTTAGCTCTTTTGAGTCTATTTTCTTTCTGTCGCGGTGTAAGTTTTTGCACTTTTTGGAATTTCAATGACTTTACCTCAAGCTCATTTTTCAATATTTTCCAAATGGAATATTGCAAATGTGTTCAGATCACGTGTTATTTTTCTGCCAATGCGACGCGGGTTTCGATCGACTCGTTCTTCACTTTTCAAGCCATTTCTGCTGATGTTGTGGTTTTCTTCCGTCCACTTCCTTGACGTCAGGCTAGCTACCAGTATCACGGGAACGAGCGATGATACGAGACACAAAAGATTTATTCACATTTAAATGCTGGAATGCTCTAACGATAGCCACTTGTGGTTTTTCAGCCAAAAATATAAAAAAATCACACTATCTCGCTTGAATTCCATCACGAATAAATTTTTTCTGGAAATTTCTCACCAAAATGCTTTTGTACGCTTGTAAACAATAAAATTAATTCACTGGAATAATTTTAACAGCTGTCGGACGAGTGGCGTTTTGATATAACTCCCATATAACTGTGCCTACAGAATTAAGATTTTTTGGGTGTGTTAGGGGCATTGGAACCCAAATTTTCAGATACATATATGAGAATAAATTTGGTCTACATTTTCCCATAGCCCCTTATTACGTTAATCCCCTTCATTCACGGTTTCAGCTATATCTTTTCCCCCAATACCAAATGTAATACCATTGAGTACATTAATTTAGTACTTTTCGTACAAATATAGGACGTATTTCCAAATCCACCTCCAAATCTCAAGCTTAGGTAACATCATTAATCTATCTCTTTATCTCTACACATTCACCCAATACCAAATATGGTCTCATTTGGTACTTTTCATACAATTGTGGTACATATTTCCAAAACCACCTCCATATCTGAATTCCAGATACTAACAGTGACCTGAATATCAAATTTTAGGATAAGGTATCCTATTCAAGCAATACCAAATTTAGTACCATTTAGTACTTTTCAAACAAATATAGGACGCATTTTCAAACCAACGCCAAATCTCAAGCACAGATCACAGCAATAATCTAAATATCAAATTTCAGAATTTGATTCCTATGCTTTCACTCAATACCAAATATAGTTCCATTCAGTGCTTATTGTACAATTATAGTACACATTTTGAAACCACCTCCCTATATCTTGGCTACACATGAACAGCGACCCTAATAACAATTTTCAGATTTTAAGCACTGTATGTTACCCAATACCAAATTGTACCAAATATTGTACTATTTTGTACTTTTCGTGCCCTTGTAGTGCACATTTCCGAAACCATCTCATTACCACAAAGTTACAGCTAACCGGGAGCCCAATACAAAATTTTAAAATTCCAGCTTCATCCTTTCACACTAAACCAAACTGTTCCAGATTTAGTACCATTTATCACAGTTCGCACACTTGGTACAAATTTTCAAAATCACCTTCATATATCAAACTTACTTTCCAACCTTGATTGTCATACCAAATTTTTTGAACTATCCGTTCACATAATACCCAATGGAACCATTTTAGAAATGTAGATCTATTTTACAACTTTTCATAACTTTAAAATTCGAATTTCCAAAAACCCTTTGCTATAGCTATCCTTAACTCCATCCCTGAATTTTAAAATTCTAGTTCATTCCGTTGGCGCAAAATAAAGTATTTAGTTTTTAGTACTTTTCGAACACCACAAAGTGTTCGTGATCAGCATAAAAGTCTACGTCCCTATGTCTTCACGTCTAAAAAAATACACAGTCCAACGTCAATCGAATGAAAAACAAAAACGTTGCTGTGAAAAAAGATCTGCCAATAGAACTTGAGTCGAACCTGGAGAGTTTCTAGTGTATAATTCGCATATGCTAATTTGCAATAAGTTCGAAATATATACTACTTTCCAGAGAACGGCCCTTGTAAGCCATCATCCACATCAAATATGCCTGATGAGCCGCTTAACCAACGGCGAAACGCGTCGCATAGTGGTGAGTGTGTGATAGTGTCTATCTGGCTTTCCTTTTCACTGCAAATTTCAGATCATTAAGCTCGTCTCGAAAGAGAAAAACACTTAAAAAAGAAAGAAAAAATGTCGGAAATATCATCAAATTTTGGAATAAGTTTAGATTTGTGCGAATTGATAACCTTTGGCACGAATTATGGCCACTGAAACCGTCACACGCTGCCCGAATGTTGCTCTGCGGTATTTTGGCCCATTCCCGGCGAAGCGCTTGCTTGAGGGGATCGACACTTTGGTATTTTTTAGTGCCAACCTTGCTTTCCAAAATACTCTAGACACAATAGTCCAACGGATTGGTATCCGGAGATTTTGGTGGTCTTTGTGCGCTGGAACCGAGGAAATTCATTTTGTAACCATTCTTGGATGGCGCGTGCTGAGTGCGATGGGGCTGAGTTCTGTTGGAATGTCCAATGTCTGCGGCCAAAATGTTTGCGTGCCCAAGGCTTTAATACACCCTCCAGAATATTTTCGCGTTAATATTCGGCATTTATTCTGATGTTGTTTACAAACTGTTTTCTTATCGAAGATTACCAAATTCGACAGTTCACCACTTTCGACCAATCCAACCCATTTTTTAGCTCTTTTGAATCTATTTTCTTTCTGTTGCGGTGTAAGTTCTTGCACTTTTTGAAATTTTAATGGCTTTACCCCGCTCTCATTCGGGCAGAGCAACATTCGGGAGGCGTGTGAGGGTTTTATTGGCCGTTTGAAGGATACAATTCGTGCCAAAAGTGGCCAATTCGAACAAATCTAAAATTATTATTCCATTTGATGCTATTTCCGACATTTTTTGCTTTCATTCAATAAAATTAAAAAATTTGTTGCAGTTTTTTATCTCACCCTGTATGTTATGGATTACGGATAGACGTGAGCACTTCTGGTAACTCCCCGACATTGGTTCAACATTTTGAATAATTATATCACTCATAAAATACGAAATAGGCATCCGATTCATTCTAAGCTTCACATTCCTACCAACACAAGACCAGGTGTATAGATGGGGTCAAAATTTTGAATAACAAAACGCTCATGCTATGCGAAAAAAGCATCCGGTTCAAATTTCACACATCCCAACATTTATTCCAACAGTAGATATGGTGTGAATATAACCCTTCTGTTACCTCCCCTCAAAGGGTCACAATTTTCTTTAAAATTCAGAATTTGTTTGCACTCAGAAATTGTTTACAAACTTGGTATATCAAAATATTTCTCTCATCCAGAGATCTGATGTGAATATGGAATTTATGGACCCACCCTTCTCGTACCTCCATACAAAATTGGAAATAAATGTTCAATTTTTCTGTAAATTTTACACATCCCAATACATCGATATTTTCCATTAAATAATCACGTAAATCATGTGAAGTGAAGGAAGTGGTCGACATAGTCCAAACCTGGAACGTTGTAATATATATTTTTGACACCAAATTATTGCAAATTTAACAATATCTTTAAAAAATATCAAATGAATTGAAAACATTAAATAATGCCTTCAAATTAGAGATTATACCTCCAATTGTTTTTTCAAATTAACCACACAACTCTGTTAATACGAACCACATTAGTGTATATTCACTCTTCCATATGTATGCTTTGGATTTACCTTGCTGGTTCGGTAGGGATAACGTGCCTACACTACACTTTCCCTGTCGCTGGACGAATTCCTTTTCACCTGTATTGTTCGATTATGTGTCTGTGTCTGTGTGCTGGCGATAGATAGTGGATTCCGTGTATGTTAAAATAGTCGAGCTATTACTTCTCAATCGATATTCATTAAAATTTCCAAAAAAAAAAGGAAAAAATTAAATGGATAACGACACAGTTGAATGTGTACGGCGGGTTGTCTCCTGACGGTGATGACGTGCTTTGTAGTTATTTATGTTTTCCCCGTTTTCTTTTTTTACTTTTCCGGGAAAATTATCTTCCACCTGTACATGAAATTTTTGTAAACGTAATAAACTTCACTTTATTTTTTATGATATATTTGAGTATGAATAATTTCTCTGTTTCACTTTAACTTTTCAAAACAACGACCACTTCAAAATTTATTAAAAATTTCTCATTACACTTCTATTAGATTTGTTTTGAAAATTTTGCCATACACTTTGAGGTGTTTTTTTGTTTTTGTTTTCCTTCGAATATTTTCAAAATTTTCCTTTCACTTTTTCATGTTTCTATTTTTCATTAACCGACGATTTACATTTGTTTGGATACCGCGCGTTGTATTAACCGTTTTATTTGTAACTGTCCATCCTTTTCGAAAAAGTCATTTAGAGCGACTGACATGACGTTCAAAAACTTTCACTCAATAGCGGCATTCTTTAATTGTGTTTGTCGTACGACAGCCACATCGACAACATGCTGTGCTGTTACGATATCTAACTGACGATACATGCTCACACACATACATACTCCAACAATCTATTCGAAGCAATTGTCCATAGTGCCACGCAGTACGATCAGCGTTGCCACTTTTGGGCGAACATAGACATGAAAGCGGTCGATTTTTATACCCTACACCACAAAGTGGTAAGGGTATTATGTCTTTGTGCATTTGTTTGTAACATGGAGAAGGAAGCGAGATAGACCCATAGTTACCTTTGAGGATCTCCATAGAATCACAATCTGAGTTGATTTATGCATGTCAGTCCGTCTGTCCGTCCGTCCGTCTGTCCATTTATTCATGTAAAAAAATGCAGGTCGCATTTATTATCCGATTGAGATGACATTTTCCAAACAACATTTGTTTGGCCCAAGGACGAACCCTATTTGAAATTGGATATAATCGGTAAAAATTTAGATATAGTTCCCATATATATCTTCGTCCGATTTGCCTTTTATTATGCACCAAACTTGTAATATCAGCCCGAATAGTACGAAATTTTGCGCATACAACCAATTTAGGCCTGAAAATAAGTATGCCAAATTTGATCGAAATCGGTTCAGATATAGCTACAGCTCCCATATGTATTTTCATCCGATTTGTTATTTTTGTCCTCTGCAGCCGTAATATGCACTCTGCATCAACAATATTTGGGGAAATATATCAAATGCAGCTCAGAAATACCTTGGCTAAATTTTATCGATATTGGTTCAGATTTGGATATAGCTCTCATATATAAATTCGTCCGATTTACCTTTTATTGTGCACCAAACGTCCAATATTTGCCAAATGGGTTGGAATTTGGCACATACGACCGAATTGAGTACAGAAACTAGTATGCCAAATTTGGTGAAGATCGGTTCAGATATAGCTATAGCTCCCATGTTCATCCGATTTGTTGTATTTGTTACCCACAGCCGTAATATGCACTCCGTAACAACGATATTCAGGGAAATATATCAAATACAGCTCAGAAATATCTTTGCCAAATTTTATCGAGATCGGTTTAGATTTGGATATAGCTCCCATATATATCTTTATCTAATTTCAAATTAATTTTGCACCAAATGGGCAATGCAAGTCCGAATTTAAAAGATACAAATGATTCCGCATATTTAGTCCTTTGAACTTTAAATTATACTTATAATCATAGAGTGTATGATTGATTTCTCCCATAAATTTTTTTAATTGTTATGTGAAGCTCTACTAAATTAGCAAAGTGGTGTAGGGTATCATAAAGTCGTCCCTTCCCGACTTTAGGACATTCTTTACTGGTTATATTTATGTTCTTTTTTTGTGCAAAAGAAAACGATATAGACCAACAGTTGTTTTTGGTGCAGAAAATGACATTCTGCGTCGATTTATGCATGTTCGCCCCATGGATAGTGCAGTTAAGCTTATCATCTATCTAATCTTCTAAAATGCCAAATATGAAACAATCTCTTGGGTAAATAGGACTGAGATTATCAAACTACCGGTGGGTATCGTTATATGTGTTCTGACACCTGGCTAGAACCTATTATGAACTATATACACTAATTTGTATCAAAATACCGAATATTGGGAGTTACCGTTATATGGGGGCTACTCCAAAACCTGAACCTATACATACAATGTTTCGCCACACGAGGTAGAACCCGTTATATGGGGGCTATACGAAGACGAAGACCTGCAGAGACAATTTTCTGTCATAGGCTGTAGTATCCATTGCGAATTTCAAATGCGGAATTTGAAACAATTCCGGTAAATAATGTCTCTAAAATCATCAATAATGGCTATACCAAAACGTGGAACTATACATACAATATTTCGGCACCAGAGCTAGAATTCATTATAACCAACATATACCATTTTTTAGACAAATACGTGAAAAAAGGTGGCAAAAATCGTCAATATACCGAATATCGGGAGGTACCGTTATATGGGGGCTATACTAAAACGACAACCTATACATAAAATGTTGGGCCACACGAGCAAGAATATAATATGACCTACAAATACCAATTTTTAGGCAAATCCGTTGGAAAAATGTGGCAATACACATCAAAATACAAAATATCGAGATATACCGTTATATAGGGGCTATGCCAAAACGTGGACCGATATATCTCATTTCCAATACCGACCATCCTAGGCACAATACAAATTGTTCTGCTAAATTTTGTCGCTCTACGTCAATTAATGTGGTATCGTGATTTCAACAGACAGACGGACGGTAGAATAATGGACAGACAGGCAGATAGACGGATATCGTTAAATAGACTTAGAATTTTATGCTGATTTTGAATAAATATACCATACAAACGCGATGACAAAATTAATATACCCTCCTTTCCAAGGTGGAGGGTATAAACATATTTAATGCCGGACCGAGTTTTACCAAATGGAAAAATTGGGTTGAATATGAAAAAATCTATTCAATATAGGCTAATATTAGATATATGGTGGGCAATAACCTAAAATTGGATGCATATATATATATATCGAAGGTATATAAAAATCTAAGCAGATCTCTATAAAATTTGGCAGCGGTATTTTTGAGTTGTATCTGATGACCGGTATCAAATATCCTTGTTGTGGAGTGCATATTACGCATGAATGGGACATAAACACCAAATCGGATGAATAATATATATGGGAGCTATAGCTATATCTGAACCGATTTTCACAAAAATTGGAAGTACTTGCTTCTGGGCTAAATTCCGTTGGAAGTGCCAAAATTCAAGTCATTTGGACTGATATTGGCCATTTGGTACACAATAAACCTGATATCATATAATGATATGTATGGGAGCTGTATCCAAATCTGAACCGATCTTGATAAAATTTTAACCACTTATTTCTGAGCTGTATCTGATATCTGGTACCAAATTGTTGTGGGGTGCATATTACGCATGTGAGGGACTTTAAACCTCAACTCGTATGAAACATACATATGGGAGCTATAGCTATATCTAAACAGATTCTCACCAATTTTAATAGAATTTGTCCTTGGGCCACTATAGATATTGTTCGGAAGATTTCCTTTCAATCTGATAAAAATGCGTCCTCCATTTTGTTCCCAAAAATACATTAAATCGACTCAGAAAGTGATTCCTCATAAGTAAATATCTTGCTTCCTTCTCTAAGTTACAAACAAATTCATAAACACATACTATTTTTACCATTATGTGGTGTAGGGTATAAAAATGAAAATTGGCTAAGGGTAAACATCTCTCGGCAAAACCGACTGATACTTTTCAACTTGTTTTTGTATTGTTATCACTAATATTGCCAAGTACACCCTATTCCTCAAATGCACGGATTTCAAGCAATCTTAATCCGAAAATTTCGAAACATGTTTGCTCCTTCTATCTAGTTTACTTTTCGAAATGTCGCTACACGTGTCTTCTTCTTTTAGCTTTATATTTATAATGTAATAAGTTGTTCCTGTAGTTCTTGAAAACCTGGAATTTTGTCGTACTAAGTAATAATAGGTAATAGTTCGATTTAAAAACAAGTAAAATAACATTAATTTCTAATAACCTCCACCATTAAGAAAAAAAAAAAAAAAAAAAAAAAACACTTTCAAATAAAAGCAATTGGAATCAAACGTATTTCACGGAATGATCAATTTAATATAACTTCCTTTCCAAGGTGGAGGGTATGACAACTGGTTTGTCATCTTAATAGACCACTTGTTAATCGCATCTCCGTAAATACGACTTGTATGTATTCATCTAGATGACTATTAAATCGATTTTATAGGATAAAGATTATTTGTTTCTAAAGACAACTGTATAAATTTTGGGTCAGTCGACGACTTATTATTTAACTATGCTTAACTAGTTAGTATTTCTGTTTAGGTGACAGTTTATTTTGTCCGAATATGAAAATTTTTGTATGAACCTATTATCCTAACATGGCAACACACTGCTACGATATAAGGAAGAGAATTCCCATACGATAAACGATGGACGATACACATTTATCTCTCTTTCGCCCGTTTATTTATGTTCTCATCATATCGGACCTTAACTTCGTTTTATCGTAAATTGTGTCTCGTACCCTTTGCCAGCACACATGTATTAGTGTATACTGTTGAAGTAATACTCGTAGGGAGAGAATATGAATATATCTTCGTAGCTCTATCTATTCATGTTTTTCTACACATTTACCTTTACAGCAACAACAACAACAACACCACCATTATATTTGTACTTTCAACTGGTATGCATTGTTGTTGGTGTCCGCGGGTGGTGTCGTCGCATGAGGGTGGTAATGGCTGATGGGGGAAAGCAACAATTTTTTATTACTACTCTTCAGTGAAGAGGTGGCTGCCAGCCAGTGGTCGTATAGTTTAGAGGTAACTAAATGTGTGTGTGTGTGTGTGGGGGGGATACCTTTGTAACTACTATTTTTTATTCAAATTACTAGTGAGGACGGGGATGGGCAATCGTTTATCTTCCAAGTTGGATGTGGCCAAAAGGATGGTTATTTACAATTATTTCGGATTTTCTATAGAAGAGGTATTTGCGCGGACATCTGAGCGAATAATCGGTTATCAGAAACTAGGGATCATTGGTTTTATAAAAATTATTTCAATT